ATATATTTATATTTAGGACATATTGAGAATAACCAACAGGGTAACTTATGCTTACATATGTAAATTTATTCCTGTAGCACTTATATTTTTATTTGCCCAGCTGCCAATGCAAATTTGTTTAAATATTTGCTGAATTTCTAACATTTCAGGAAATACTTAAAAAAATGCTAATCCCTGCCCATATTTGCATCCAAGCACCCATTTTAGCAGAGAGGTTGCGTATACGCCATACCACACTGTCAACACTCACTCCAGCAGAGAGGTTACGTATACGCCATGTCACACTTTCCCCAATCGCATGCCCTACCGTACTTTTAGATACTCGCCCGCCAACAATGAGGTTACGTATACGCTATGACGCACTTTTCGGTGTCACATCTATTACGATTTCAGTATAATTGGAATTTGCATGCAAATTAAATCAATTCGCCGCAAATATGTCATTTGAAAGCCTCATTGAAGGCAAAGTGAAGATAAGGCGGAACGAAAATAACACACCACAATATATACAGTTATATGCAATTACCATTGCAGGCATTTGTATTTGCAGTGCATAAATTATTTAACATTTCTAGCAATTTGATTAAAATTTTACTTGGAAGTAAAAGCATATTACGCACCAGATTGAAACAAAGAAAGTGGGAAGATTTACTTCCAGAAAAATGCAATAAATGCTAGGTAATGAATGATATGAGGTTCATATATTTCTTCGACTTTATTATAGGCTGAACTGGCTAAACTTAGTTTTCCACGAAATTTGTAACAATCATAAGGAATCGTTGGAGATCCTTAAAAGCATATGCATATATTCAGCTTACCCAGCTGAATCCATTTAGTCATGTCCGTGTGCACAAAGAGGCTAAAAGATTCATAAAGAGACTCTTTCTTGGAACTTTTTGTCGCCCTCTTATATTTTAGCGAGCCCTTCTGCTCATATTTACGCTCTTTTACTTTAGTGAAAATAGCCATTATTTTAATGAAAAGTCTAAGACTACACACGCAACGTTTTGCAGTCACATTTCTACAAGCAGTTAACAATTTGCAAAAAGTTATCTTAACCCACAAAATTCATATACCGATTTCATTTAATACTGTTTTTGTTAGATTGCTGTTTTTGTACAATTTTACCCCACAAATATTTTGCGGCTGTCACATGGCATTCACGCAGAAACCAAGCCCAAATGATGCAAATAGCAAAAGAACAAAAAATTGCTAGTTGTAAAAAAAAACAATAATGCGTGGCTCTGTTCAAAATATATACTTATACCCTTTACGATATTTTCATTTTCAGTTTATAAGCGAGGAAAAGTTTAAAAGTATG